TGCGGCAATGTGACATGGTGTTTCGTTGGGAAGAATAATATCATTGATATGGTCGACATGTTGCACATATCCTAACGTTTCACCACGAAGCAAGTCAATGGGGTAGTTGCAGTGGTTGGTAACCAGCATTACAGTTAAACCAGACGCAATCGTAAGAACGGCATATGAGAGCACGATGCCCTTGCGTTCAGTGAAAACAGGGGATGGCGTAAACACCACCGTGGCGTCAGGTTGCGCCACACATGAAAGGCTAATAGGGACTGAAGCTTCCGGAGGCAAGGTGATGTCGTCACCAGCGATGAGTTTGCAGAGCAGTGGTGAATGGTCGGGCGATGGAAATTCACAACTTGGCACTAGGGACACTTCCGCACGGCAAAAATCGATGATAGCTTCATGACCTGATAAAAAATCCCAACCCAGGATGAGGTCATGAGAGCAAGATGGTAGTACAAAAAATTGGACGATGTACAAAACGTCTTGGATGACGACGCGCGCCGTACACACAGCCGAGGGCTGAATGCGTTGCGCGCTAGCCGTGGACAGCACGATGCCACAGAGAGATGTGGTCACTTTCTTCAGTTTGCGACAAAATTTTGCGTTCATCATAGAAACGGCGGCCCCAGTATCAATTAACGCTTGTGTGGCGACTCCCTCAACATTGACATCAACCACATTCTGCGGCGAAAATGGAGGCTTGATAATTGCAATTGCGCAGAAGTTGCAGTTCTTGCCTCTGGAACTGCACTGATTAGTTTCCCTCCTCAGGAGGTGGTCTAGTCGCATAGGAGATGGTGATCGGCGACGAGGAAATGGGAAACGAGAAGTTGATGGGCGACGATCCGAGTCAGAGTGCCTCTGTTCGTATGCAGACGTGGTGGCCTGCTGCGACGCATAGGTAGGAGATCCAAAGGAGGCGTACGCAGGTGTGGGACGGCGGCGGCAGTAGCGTGCAATGTGGCCGGCGATGCCACACGCGAAGCAGATAGGACGGTTGTCATGGGTGCGCCACTCATTAGATGGACGAAAAAAGCGAGGTGAGGGCCTGTAAACCGGAGGCACTGCCAGAGGAGGTGGAGCCGATAAGGATACTGGACGCGGTGGGGGCTGCGCAACCACAGCTGCGTAGCTGAGAGGTGAAGATGGTGCAAGTGATGCGTAGCTGACTGCTGAGAGATTAGATGCTGCTGAAGTGCATGCGTAAGGGGCCTGCACTGTAGGTAGGACATCGCAAATTTCAGTGCGTATGGCCTGCTGCAGTGTCGAAGGCAGACTTGCGGTGGGCGCGTCGCTATGCGGCAGCAGGGAGAGCTGTCGGGCGACTTCCTCCCTGATGAAGTCTTTGATCTGGTTGGACAGACTTTCTTGGCGAACGTTGGCATTTGCGAGTGCGACAGCCGAGATCAAATCTGGTGGTGAGACACTCTGTCGGGCGTTGGAACGCTGACGGCGTAATTCTTCGAAGCTTTGGCGCAGGCTTACGAGGATTGCCACCGAGGTCAGGCTTTTCGCTAGCAACATCTGGAATGCGCCATCCTCAATGCCCTTGAGAATCTGCCAAATTTTCTCTTCTTCGGGCATAGATGGGTTAACACGCCGGCAGAGGTCGAGCACATCCTCAATGTGGGTCCCGCTGGCGAGTAGCGCCGGGGCAGGTAGACGGGGCAGCCGATGGTGCTGGCTGGGCTGGGACAGGCTGGTTGGCGACTGCGTCAGTCATGTTTCGCGGTAGTCTTTCTGGCAACTTGCGAGAGCGGAGCTCCAGGTCTGCTTGGGGGTCTCAGCAGCCTCCACCAAATGTGATGACGTTTATTCGAGCAGAGGAGTCGCAACGAGGTTGCAACAGAAAGTGGGCGTACGGCAAGTCTGGCAAAGGCGGCACAAACACTCGCGCAAGCAGAGCACGGGCTTTTCGTTGTCTTCCGAAGGCGCATACGCGTTGGTGCGTATGCTCCACTACAAAGGCATTAAATTGACGTATATCAAAATGAACAGTAAATGCTCATTGCGGACAAAGAATAGTTTGTTATATTCATCGTGAAGAAATTTTAGCTTCGTCAAAACGAACTTTTACATACATGGGTGTCTGTGGGAATACAAGGGGAACTACAATTGCTTCATTATATCTATGAGTTTGTTACGAAGTTTTACTGCCAGAAAGTCTTTCTTTTTTGCCATAGTATGGGAGAGATCATACTTTCCTGGCAGTTTTGCATGATTGTTTTTTATCGCGTGCAGTGGTGACGCCAAGGAGCATTTCAAAACAATCGGTCCGGTATAAGCAGCGACTAAAATAACAACAGAATGGACAATGTCAGCTTTCCGTGATATATTGTGTGCTTCTCTACCACGATATGATACTTTGTGACAACTGGCAGTTTCATTGAAATATGAAATTGTCGCGTGGACTCTGATCATCTCCTGGTTAGTTGTGTGTAGTGCGGTGCCTATGCTGCCTACACTGTCGCTGCCGGGCGGCTCGCTGTACTGTGCGCTCGGATTTGCTGTGTGATTTTCTCATCTCCATTTTGCTCCATACTGAGCTCAGATGAGCAGAGTAGTGTGCAATTAGCGTCGGGATAACAAATTTCCGCCAAGTGAAATGCAATGCGGTGATCTATACTTTGTTTCACACATCAGGTGCAACGCTGTGGTGGCTAGCGAAACTCTGCCGTATTCGAAATGAAAAAATAGGCATATATTAGTATTCGAAATGAACAAATAGGCATATATTAGTCTGCAAGCAGCCGCTTCTAAAAGTGGTTTCAATACAATGGAGGGGCGCTATACTGTTAAGACACCTTTCTAAAAAAATCTGCATTGCCGGGAAGCCTCACTTCAAGGTTAAATAGATGCATTATTCTTACATCGATTCTTCCTTTAAGCTTTAGAGCTTGTTATAGTGGCTTATACAGTAAAACCTCGTTAAGTCGAAGTCACTGGGACAGTGACAAATCTTTGAATTAAGCGGGTTTTGAAATTAACAGATTATATGAAAAGTGGGGTGCAAGGAACTTGAAATTATTCAAATTAATCAGGGCTGGTCATTTGCTGTGCTGGCTAGTTTGTGGCTCCAAGGGTTATGTTTCCCTTCAATACCTGGTCACAATTTTGCTGCAAACAAGGGGGAATTCCGGGCCTAACCTCTGTCACCGGGAAAAAAAAAAGAGAGGAAAAAACGTGATCAACTAAAATGCGTGCCTGCAAAAAAAAAAAACATCTTCATTGCAACACAGTAGTGACACGGGGGAAGCTTGTCGCCTATTCCTCGCTGCGTCAGCACGTCATGATGCGACCATTTTCCCATCTTTTTATTGTGATAGCAATGATATGGACACTCTCCGCTGAATTTTGCCATGGCCGTCGACGTCCCCATCACCGTCACTCACCGTATATGTATATATATCTATATATATATAAACGCAAAAGAGAAAAATAATCGAGAAAAAGTCTTCGGCGCGTGGAATTGAACGTGATACCTCTGAATCGTGAATGGGAGTGTTTAATCACTGAGCCACCGTTTAGCACCTTTTTCAACATTCCAACAGCAAGCTATTTATATCTACCACTCACCGCTCTTGACGGGCATCTCGGTGGTATCGTGTTTTCAGCATTGCCATTAAGATGGCGCATTGAGCGCGCGTCATCACATCATCAAGACGCAGCGGTGCGCGCTCTCATCTCCCTCGCGGAGAGGAGGAGGGGAACCAAAAGAATGACATTAGCAAGTGCCTTGTTTAAATTAAAAAAAAAATGTTGTGCAGGTTGGTTGGGTCATGACAATATGAACACTTCTGTTTATAAGGTGTGATATATATACTATTTGAGTTTGATGTGAAAACATTCAACCCAAATCACTATTATTCGCTTTGAACCTAAAATTTACTGTTCGCACTAGCCTACGAAGTAGTCATTGTCAGATAAGTTTGACATGATAGGTTGTTTTACGTGGCTGTTTGTAATGTTTACTGCACAATTGTTGCAATAGCAGAAATAACTGAGTAAGCTGCACGTTGGTGCAGTGAATGCTTTAAATACATTGTGCCTCTAATTAAAGTCTACCTGTTTTTTACTTGTGTCTTTGTTCTAATGGGAAAACAGTAGCCTACAATAAATCATTTCAGCACTTATCCAATTCTAGTGTACACCTTGTTCTTTTTATAGGAATTAACAAGCAATGAATTGAAGGGAAATATAGAAGACGTTTTTTTTTAACTGTATTGTACTAATTATATAAATGGGAACAAAATAAAGTAGATAAAGAGACAACTTGCCACTGGCAGGGATTGAATTTGCAACCTTCAAGTAACATATCTGATTCTCTATGATTGATTCCAATTGAGTTATAGCTGCGGTCATCTTTTCATCTACTTTGTCAGGTATTACTGTGCATTTAAAGCTGAGAGTGTTAACCAGCATTGCATGTAGCTTCGACGGCGAGCATGAAGCACTCTTTTTTGCCAGCTGTACTGCTCACCCGCAGGTCGCGGGATTGAATCTCGTACGCCGCGACCACATTTCCTAAGGAGGTGATAATGCTTGAGGCCTATGTGCCTAAGATTTAGGTGCGTGTTCAAGAACCCTGGTTAGTTGAAATTCATAGAGCTCTCCGCTACTGGGCCTTTCATAATCACATAGTGATTTTGGGACGTTAAATTTCAAGAAATACTACTTTATCATCTTTTTTTGCCAGCTGGCGCCACATAGCACATAATTTCTTTACAAGCTAGAAGGTGACCGATAAGGCCTCCCATACTACCTGAAGGCATCAAGTGTGCCGGAATGAGACTGTTGCTATGAATGAACAACAACAACAACAACAACGAAAAAAGGGAATTTAAGGGCTGATTTTTATAAATTTTTTTAGACAAGGGTCGGTCTGCTCGAAAAGTGGTCACACCATGTGACATCAGCGCATGCATCCTTCCTTCTCCTTGCATCACTATGGTGTAATCCTACTATACTATACGTTGTACCAAAAATGTTTCGTTGTCTCTTTACAGGTACGTTGGCGAGATGCTCTCAGACTCTGAGGCAGATAAGCGAGAAGCTGACGTATATTTGTTTGACTTGGAAGATAGGGTAAGTTTCATCAGTTCTGTCATCACTTATGCCATGCACGCTGCAGCACTTCTCTCAACCAGGGAGACCGCCAGGGGGCTCGAAGTAGTGCAGATGCGCTTTGGTCACTGGATTTTCATGGTTTTCGAGTGGTTCTGTTCGTCTGAAACTGCCTGGAAACGTTACCATCAGTCTCACAAAGTTCTGAGGTACACCTGGGCACCACCCAAGTAGATTTCCTCTGACTTAGAGGCACCAAAGGACTAGAAAGCTCTCCACCATCTAGAACGCTGATCTGGGGAGCCACTGGCAGCTGCGGCGACGCTGGGGTTTCCCGCGTCGAAGCTTCATGTAGCCATGGCTCTCGACACGGGGACCGACTAACAATCATCATCATCATCAGCCTGACTACGTCCACTGCAGGACAAATGCCTCTCCCATGTTCCGCCAGTCAACCCGGTCCTGTGCTTGCCGCTGCCAATTTATACCCGCAAGCTTCTTGATCTCATCAGCCCACCTAACCTTCCGTCTCCCCCTAACCCGCTTCCCTTCTCTGGGAATCCAAATAGTTACCCTTAATGACCAGCGGTTATCCTGTCTACGCGCTACATGCCCGGCCCATGTCCATTTCCTCTTCTTTATTTCAACTATGATATCCTTAACCCCCATTTGTCCCCTAATCCACTCTGCTCTCTTCTTGTCTCTTAAGGTTACACCTACCATTTTTCTTTCCATTGCTCGCTGCGTCGTCCTCAATTTAAGCTGAACACTCTTTGTAAGTCTCCAGGTTTCTGCTCCGTAGCTAAGTACCGGCAAGATACAGCTGTTATATACCTCCCTCTTGAGGGATAGTGGCAATCTACCTGTCATAATTTGAGAGTGCTTGCCGAATGTGCTCCACCCCATTCTTATTCTTCTAGTTACTTCAATCTCGTGGTTAGGCTCAGCGGTTATTACCTGCCCTAAGTAGACATAGTCTTTTACAACTTCAAGTGCAGTATTACCTATCTCGAAGCGCTGCTCCTTTTCGAGGTTGTTGTACATTACTTTCGTTTTCTGCAGATTAATCATAAAACCCACCTTTCTGCTCTCCTTGTCTAACTCCGTAATCATGAGTTGCAATTCGTCCCCTGAGTTACTCAGCAATGCAATGTCATCGGCGAAGCGCAGGTTACTAAGGTATTCTCCATTAACTCTTATCCCTAACTGTTCCCATTCTAGGCTTCTGAAAACCTCCTGTAAGCACGCGATAAATAGCATTGGGGAGATTGTGTCCCCCTGCCTTACACCCTTCCTGATTGGTATTCTGTTGCTTTCTTTATGAAGCACTATGGTAGCAGTTGATCCCCTGTAGATTTCTTCCAGAATGTTTATATATACTTCATCTACGCCCTGATTCCGCAGTGTCTGCATGACGGCTGATATTTCTACTGAATCAAATGCCTTCTCGTAATCTATGAAGGCTATGTATAGTGGTTGGTTATACTCTGAGCATTTCTCTATTACCTGATTGATAATATGAATATGGTCAATGGTTGAGTAGCCTGTTCGAAATCCTGCTTGTTCCTTGGTTGATTGAATTCTAATGTTTTCTTTACTCTGTTAGCAATTACCTTTGTAAATAGCTTGTATTGTACCTTCATCTTGTATTTTTTATTCAGTTTAATTACAATACCTACCACCCTTTCATTAATGCTATAGTATTCCTCTATGTTGCCAGCTATGTTTCTGTGAATTAGGAACCCCACTCCCAGTTCTCTTCTGTTTGCCAAGCCCCGATAGCAAAGGACGTGCCCATTCTGTAGCACCGTATAGGCCTCATCTGTCCTCCTAACCTTACTGAGCCCTATTATATCCCATTTAACACCCTCTAGCTCCTCGAATAGTACAGCTAGACTTCCCTCACTAGATAAGGTTCTAGCGTTAAACGTTGCCAAGTTCAGGTTCCAATGGCGGCCTGTCCGGATCCAGAGATTCTTAGCACCCTCTGCTGCGTTGCAGATCTGACCGCCGCCGTGATCAGTTGCTTCGCAGCTGCTGGGGACTGAGGGCTGTGAGTTATTTGACGTATGCATGTGGGAGGTAGTGGCCAGATACTGCACCAGGGTGGCCAATCCTTCTCTGGTGAGGGAGTGCGTTCCCGGCGGTGGTTACCGGTGAGGCCGCATCCCAGGCCTCTTAGTGCAGTTCCATCAACACGCGGATTTTTTTTTTTTTTTTTTAATCCGGTTGGGAACTGCACGGCACCGAGATTTGAACCACGAACCTCTTGCATGCGAGGCAGATACTCTAACCACTACGCCATCGCGCACTAACAATACTACCATCTAAAACAAGATGGCATAGCCGACGACCAAATGGATGCCGATGACACGGTGAGCCGAAACGCTACTGATCATTAATCACATGCAAGAGGATGCTAGCTGGCAGGCAGTTAAATATACTAAACATAGCAAGCAAGGGGCACTGAAAGGCAGGCGCAGCAACGCAGGGCTTCAGGACCAAGTTAAAACGCACACGTCTGCATTCAACAAATTGCTAATACTACCACCACTGCCGAAAGATGATTACAAGATCGTCATTCATCTAAACTAGGACCTCCCGCTGAGAAACATTCCGATACCTGCGCAAGCAATCATCGAGGCATGCCAAGCTGCCTTCAGAGATGACCAGTTCATCCTTAGAATCAATCCAGGGTCAGACATAGTGATACTATCAACCAAATATGAGGATGTTGCAGACAAAGCGCATCTTATACGCACCCTTGCGCTAAACGGCAGGGCTCGCGCCGTTTGTGCCTGCGCTGCCAACGGAGAAGACACTCTCAAAGGGGTGATTCACGGCGTACCAATGAACACCTCCACCGAAACGCTCATGGCCCACCTAGGTGTGAGAATGCATGGTGTGGAGATCACTGCCAGAGTGATAGGCACAACGAAAAGCGCAGCCATTAATTTTTCGGGCCAGCGCTACCTCGTATCGTCTACTGTTACAGAGGTGAACTTTGTTGCCACCCCTTTCGACCTACGGTTCAAGTCGGCAAGGTATGCCGAGAAAAAGAACACTGCACAGATGTTTGCCCGAACCCGGATCGCCTTATTTGCCGGCTGTGTGGACTGTCCAATCCAACTGATGGACACCCGTGTTCTCTCAATTGTGCCCCGTGTGGGGAGGATCACCGCACAGGTGATCCAACTTGTAAACAGAGACTTTAGCCACCGAAACCTAAACAGCCCCAAGTACAAGCAGGCCACAGCAATAAGATCCACCAGGACAATACCAGCGACCCACCCAGGACCAAAAACCTCCGCTGGTTCTGCTCCGAAGAAGAAAAGGACGTCTACAAATTGGCCAACGCAAAGCACAGTTCGCAGTTGCACTCGCCGTCTCCGGGCCAAAAGCTGTGCTTGCCACCCAAGAGCAACGCACCAGCATCGCCTCGACCGAGCCTGCACCCCAGTCCTTTCGGAGAGGGCGCGAAAAGCAACGATAAGAAACAAGGACACACCAAACAAGCCTTATCGCTTCCGGTAAGCTGGGTGGAAGCCGTGGCTCCCAAATTTGCATGGTCTCTCTCAATCACACAAAACGCACACTATCAAGCAGTAATCATAGAAAACAAACAACTTAAACAACGCCTAGCCAAATATGAAAACAAAATAGCATGGCTGGAAAAAGCAGCTTGCCCAATTGGTGGTATTGTCCCCGAAACCTGCAGCACAGGCTCCGCAAAATCTGACAAGCAACCCAAGTGACAAGCCATGAAACAATGGGCACATACAACCACAATCGACACCACTACAAGATCCTGTTGTTAATACAGAAGCACAACAACCAGCAACAAACCTTCATCTACAGCAACAACTGCAGAAAATGCAACAGCACATTTTGCAGCAAACAGAAGCACAAATGAAACAGTTCTTTTTCGAATTTTAAGAACTGAAGCGGTACGTGCATGAAATACTCAACAAAGAACCGAAGTGTAGACATAGGCAGAGCCTTCAATGGTCCCAGGAGTCTGACGACAAAAGCATGCTTACCTCTGACACTGAAACTGCTACTGCCTTTTCGCATCATGGTAATTAATTGAAAAAGCGCACAAGAGAGTCTTGCTATATGGTCCTGGAACTGTCGTTCCCTGCACAAGCACGCTACACTCACACTGTACATAAAGGCGGCGCTGATCCCTCCAGACATAAACTGCTTACAAGAAGTGGGAGCCAGTTCTAAGACAGTTACAGGCTACAGACTGCAAATAGATTCAAACAACCCGCAGGTTGCGACACTCGTCTGGAAAGAACTGGCAGCTACATTTACAACAGTACCACACGAAGAGACACAACACCTTATTGTAACGCTCTGGCCAGCCAAGAAAGGACGCCCGGGGCAAGTTATATGCAACATATATATAGTCCCCCACAAGACTGAAAAAGCAAACTTCAGCAATATCTTCAACTATCCGAACAACACGCTTCAGCAACGCAATCGATTAATCATCACTGGCAACTTCAATGCTTGGCACACCACATGGGGTTATTTCATACATAGATCCAAAGGTTCAAGACATTTAGAGCAAGGCTTTTAGAGCTGATACAGCCGTATGACTATACACTCCTCTCGACACCGGGCACTCAGACTTGTATAGGAAACAGCGTCAATAGGGACACCACACCCGACCTTACCATAACTAACAATGCCACAGCAGTGCACTGGAGTGTATTGGATGACATTCTGGGCAGTGATCACAATATTGTGCAAATAACATACGAAACAGCTGAACTGCGATGCCCTGTAGAAAAAGCTCGGCTGACTAACTGGACAGAGTATAGAGAGCAACAGGAAGTAGACGAGCCGAAAGCCGAAGACAATAGCTCACTGCACACAATACTTTAAGAGAATCTATGACAAGAACACTAAGACATATCAAACTACTACTGACACCTGCCATCGACACCCATTAGACACACCTTTGGGAAGCTTGCAGAGGCCTGACAATACGGTGGCACCGACAAAAGCGAACC